TATACCAAAAACACATACAATTGGTGATATTGATTGTTTTGATGCAGAAAGTTTTTTACTTTAAGTTGTTTGATATATAAAGTTTGGATAATTACTTTGGAATGACATCAAAAGCCTTTGGGATGTGCTAGAAAATTTTAGAAAAAGAAACGCAGGTACTCACTTTTCTTCTGCAACGGCCTTGGCGAGAAACAAATGTGTATGGTTACCGATTTGTGGATATGCATTTCTTTCAGTGTGGCCTTTAAAGCATTTTGTTCGTGCTCTCATTTCATGTTTCTTCGACTAAAAGAAATTTCGCTTTTAAATTATAGCAGTTTATATTGCAAAAAATTATCATGCTGACTACTTACAATCTACCGTCAACCGAAAATAGATGCTGTGGTTTTTACAAGAAAAAGGTACATTGCCAAATGAAAGAATTTGTGAAAATGGATATTATTCGTAATTGTATGTTGGAAGAGAAACTATTTTCAATAGAATGTCCACAGCTATAAAAAAGAAAAGTCTTCGTGCTGAGAACTGGTTAAATGAATCACAAATATTCTTTCTTATGGCACTGCGAAGATTAACGAAATGGTGAAACAAAACACAAAGAAACGTCTTCGCCATCACCTGGAATCTTATTTAGTAGGGTTCATGTTCAGCCACCAAATGGGCAGTGATATTGTATCTGAGGCATAATTAGCAGTATCCACCAGAAACAGTCTTTTAACATATCTTTTAACAGTATCCACCAGAAACAGTTTGTAAAAAATGAATTTTCCAGTATGTATCTTATTATTTTTAATAAAATGCTAACAAAATTGTATACTTTAATAAATTAAATACCTGAACACTTATGGTTTCATTCTAAAATAGCAAACATAATGAGTATTTTGCAAAACCCACTATATTGACAGAGTGTAATTATATTTGTTTCTCAGACATGAGCAAATCGGTCCAATCTTAGGGTTATACCAAAAGCATATACAGTTGGTAATATTGTTGGCTTGTTTCTCGCAAATGCTGAAATGCGCCAAATCAACATTCTCACCCAGGCCACTGCAGAAGAAGTTAATATACAAAATATTTTGCAAAGTGTAAATATTATATATATTGGAACTTCTTGATTTTTAGATCTGATAAAATTCTGCTAATAATGCTTCTTCAATAAACATAATATAGTCGTGAGAAAACTTTGAATATTAGAGATACCACTACTCGTTTTCCTAGTGTTTATGATCACTTAAATCGGATTAATAGATGTAATGCAGATTTAAAACTTCCTTCTGTGATTTTTTATTTCGTAGTGAGAAGTAAAGGAAGTATTGCAATCACAAAGAGTTTCGGTTATCCTATTTCCACAGAAATATCCATTTTGACCATTCCCAAATTAATTTAACTATTTTTTGCATAACATCTGTACTCAGATGAATCAGAATGAAGAGCTCTTCCAAAACGATCTGTAAAATGGTTTTCTTCGATCTGTACATACGTATGTATGTAAATATGTATTTGGCATAACTCGAAAGCGATTAGCCGTAGAACTTTGAAATTTTATACATGGGACTACTGTAACATCTAGTAGCACACCTCCCTTTTTTATTGCAATCAGCAACACCAAATGTGTATATATATATACACTGGTGTGCAAAAATTAAGGAAAGTCGAAAAAATTAGCATATCAGCTGAACGAAGAGGCAGAGCGGACAGAAAGAACAATCAGGAGATTAAGTAAGGTGATGTACGGTAGCACAGGCGCAGATATGCAGGTAGACGTAATGGGGGAGTGTCTGAGTAGTATAAAGCACGTTGTCGGTGTAAGATCAGTATTTCTGGCAAAGAGATTGCACGCCGTATAGCAGTTAAAATCACACCGAGTTGCTGCCTCAGCGAGAAATGGCAAATAATCAATCTGTTAGACGACATCTGGATGCTTTTACCCGAGGTCGAATCATTGGGAAGTTGGAGGAAGGCCGCAGTGTGACAAGTGTGGCTGCAGAGTTCGGAATTGCTCACAGCATCGTTTCACGACTTTGGAAACAATTTCAAACTACAGGAACAGCTATCCGGGGGTTTAGTAGTGGTCGTCCACGAGGAACCACACCCACAGATGACCGGTATATTGCCTTACAGGCCAGAACAGGCAGCAGACAGCGGGAGAAATCGCTAGACACACGACACAGGCGACTGAACGACCGATATCGCATTTTACCGTGGCCAGAAGACTGCATGGTGGTGGTCTGTTTGCACGATGCCCTGTACGGTGTGTACCTCTAACACCTGCCCATCGGATAAGGCATTCTCTGTGGTGCCGGGAACACCGGAATTGGAGAGACAATGAATGGGGACGAATACTCTTTACAGATGAGAGCAGATTCAGTCTGAGTAGCGATTCTCATCGCATACTCATCTGGAGAGAGCGGGGAAGCCGCAATCATCCCTTGAACATCATTGAAAGGGACAGGTATGGAGGCGGCGGTGTTCTCGTTTTGGGAGGCATCATGCTTGGTAGTCGTACAGACCTTCATATCTTTGACGCAGGTTCAGTCAACGGGACCCGTTATTGTAATGAGATTCTTCTTCCATATGTGCGTCTTTTTAGAAGCGCTATGGGTCCGCAGTTCCTTTTCATGGACGACAATGCACCATGTCATCGCACAGTAGCTGCCGAACAGCCCTTAGAGAGTGAGGATATTGAACGTATGGATTGGCCGGCACGATCTCCGGATCTCAATCCCATCGAGCTTGTATGGGATTTTCTAGGCAGACGCTTGGCAGCTCGTTCCTTACCACCAGTAACGATTCCGGAGCTTCGATTGGCGCTGCAAGACGAATGGGCAGCAATGCCTCAACAACTCATTGACACCCTCATTCTCAGCATGGGCAGACGCTGTGAAACCTGCCTAGCATTCAGGGGAGATCGTATCCTCTATTAAAGACCAGATGTTTCTTGCTGGACATCCCTCACAGGGATGTTTCGGCCTTCATTGCGCTCCATGCTACTTTTTCAATAAAGCTTCTTTTTATCCCTCTGATTCGTGGGGGGGGGGGGGGGGGGGGGGGGGGGGGGGGGGGATGGGGGGGGGGGGGGGGTTCTCTTTAGTAAGTGTTGTGTGTTTGCTTACATTACTCATGTCCTTACGTATTGGGGATCTTACGGTATTAAATGTGTTGATTTGGAAAGCTTTTGTACAAAGTTATATTGAAAAACCGTCTCGTCCTTAATTTTTGCACACCAGTGTATATAGCATATACTCGGTCACAAATGTCCGAGTGGTGATACACTCAATCACAAAAGTCTACGCAGCCTAATAAATGCATCACAATTAACTTCTAAATATATAAATTTATGTCTAATCATGAAAATAAACCATAGTGTGTTCAGTTTCAACAAAATATAACAAAAATCGATACTTGATACATCAGATAAGTCCAAATACAGAGACAGAAATTCATTTACTCTTATGAAATGAATTTAAAAAAATAAAGTTAATACCTTGTGGGTCGAACTTTTGCCTCTATCGCTGCCCGTAATCTGTCTGGCATCGACAGAACTAATTTTTTATCATTTCTTGTGTAATTTCTGACCCTGTTCGTTCAAGTAGCTGCCTTCACACTTTCTTTGTTTATAACAGTACTGGCAGATTCACTGTTCAAGTTCATCCCATATATATTCTATAGGTTTAAACCTTGCGACTGAGGCGATGAATGCAGTTGACTGCATACTTTACAAAGGAGCCATTCCCTAATAATCTTAGCAATCTGTTTTGGATCTTGTTGAAAGACCCAGCTGATTTTACTAGACCTAATTTTTCAAAAGATGATGATTCAAAGATTGTTCCTAGTCCTAATTTTTCAAAAGATGACTGCAGATTGTTTTGCAGTCATTTTAGATACATGAATGGATATGCCATGCAATCTACGAAACCTAATTTACTTATTCATTCGAAAACATTTTTATACTTTCTAAAACATTCTTTTATATAAATATCAGTTATAAATTTAGCTAAAACAGTTTAAGTCTTATAAGAAAAAAGCTGAGAATTGTACTTCTTTTTTTATTTATTTGATACTAAACAATTTTATTGCTTATACAACAACTAAAAAAGAAAAGAGAGAAATCATGTCCTACCTTATATGTTCACATCCAGCCTTGACAAAGAACCGACTCATTTAATCAGTTCAGCAACTACTGTAGAATTAAGCGTACACAAAATCAAGTGCATAGTTTTAGCCCAAAATAAATATGTATAAAACAAAGCAAAACTTTGAAACATGTGTCTTGTTCAATGACAAATTTTATGCAAAGAAATTAAAGAAATATTTCATCATATGTTAAATTTTATTTTCAAACATCCATGCTTAGTCTTCCAATGTTATTTCAATAGGTCTATGTGCCTATGTGGTCAATGTGCTAGGTCTGCTGCAATAAACTTAAAGCATTGGTATCAATAAATGAGCTTTATTGATACCAACCACCCATATTCAATAAATGAGCTTTTGAATTTGTCGCATGGTGAATAGCAGTAAGATTTCTACTTCCAAGCTTTAAAGGAATGTCCTAAATCATTACTAATGTTGGCAGTGTGGTGCTTTCTGAGTTAGTTTAATTTATGTGAACTCAATACATAGAGAAAATGAGCATAAATTTACTTCAATACATTAACTCAAAATAATATTGTATTTTATTAATATTACTTCAATACATTAATACCAAGAATAAATTAATGTTATTTTCCTTTGAGTGCATTAGCTTGTTCAGATCACAGAATTCTTTGGATACTTCTTGATGTATTCTGAAGTTGAAAGTTAATAATCATAATTTATTTGTAAAACTAAATTTTTAATGTTCTACAGCTAATTTGGCCCTCCTTCGAGTTGTTGATCTGAGGCAAGTGTCTCACTTGCCTCACCCTTGTCCTTACTCTGATTCTGTGAATTGAATTTCCATTAAAATGGCAGAGTTATTAACTCAAGTGATATGCTACAAAGAGCTAGGTAGTTAATACACAGAATAGAATTTTCAGTCCAGTATTAAAGCCTTTTATTTAAGAGAACATGATTCCAAGAACAAAATGGCAGAGCCTTAACTTAGGGGAAAGAGCAAAAATGTAATATAGCTGTAAAAAATTCACTTAAAAATTTAAATACATAAATTATACATCTGTATTAACTATGTTAAAAGGCAAATGGAACAGGTGATATTTGCTTAAATTACTGAAGACAGTAAAACACCGAGCACAAAATTACAGTAAAAAGGAACAGCACAAGGAATTATAGGCATAGTATTTAAATATTATATATAAATCTAGTATGTTTATACTTGTGTCATTATTATGTACTGTATTATAAGCTGTTTATGAAAGCAACTTATCATAATTAGAAAGCATTTCAAATTTTTAAAAATATATATATCTTTCTAATAAGAAAATTTGTTCTTAAATATCTAATCTTGGAGATTCAAATAAATATGTAAATCTTATAAAAGTGCTCTTAAATGCTTTTTTAATATATTTCAGATAAATATAAAATACTAACAAAATAATGTTAAGCTTCAAATAAATATGAAATGCTAACACAAATAGTATATGAAAACCTAATACAAAATTTAAGTATGTTATTTTCCTCCACTTAACTTCTCTCTCATCTGTATAACTTCAAATTTCAATTCACTCTTCCAATTTTTTTTCACGTATTATGTTCTTTATAGAAAATGCAATATGGCAAACAAATTTCTGTCAATTTTTCCAACAAAATACAAGCTTTAATTTTACAAAAACATTACATAAGGCATTTAGAATTAATTTTATTATCAAAACATCTTTATTTTTTCCCGTTTTCAAGTATAATAAATGTTTTCAAAATAAAATACTTCACAATATGACTTCATAATCATGTTAAAATTAAGAGATACAAAAATGTGATGCAAATATACAATAATAGGTTGATATGCCAAATATAATCAATCTCATTCAGATGTTGACAATGGAGGAAATGCATTCTGCTTACTAAGGACCACTTTCAAATGCTGATAAGAAATGTAACCTTTCATTTTATTCTAGAATATAAAATAAAGTTATCTTACAGCAAATTTTATTTATTTATTTTGCCAGCTAGAGTTACAACACTCAAAACATATGAAATCTGCCATAAAATATTTCACGATACATGAAATAGTAAATGATTACTACAAATAAAAGACTTTATCATTAAAGAACAAGTCACAAAATTTCCTTTCATATTTTTAAAAACACCAATCAATTAAGGGAAAATGAGAAATTTCTAAAGATCAGTCTCTGTCAATTACACTAGATTCTGAATGAAATTCATCAGGAATATTATTTTCTAATTTATTTAATGGTGCTAAACTTGAAATTTCATCATTAGTAATCTGATTATTAAATTAAAAACAGATATAAAATAATCCATAAAAATAATCTGAATGTTAATTTAAAACTGTTTGAAATTATTAACATTATGCTTTGAGTGAACCTCCTCATGGTGAATTGGTGTATTGAATTTTGTAGCTAAGAATCCTTCAGGCTTTGCCCTTTGTGATACAGATATAGATACACACACAAGACACACCCCACAAAGACAAATATGTTTTTATGATAAAAGTACAGCCATTCATGATTTTATTGCACACACACTTTGCCCACAAATATCCTTAATCCTTTTTTTATATCTGCTGGTTCTAGACACATATTTCGATTTACAAAAATTTTTCAAATAATGCAAATATTCCCAGTATGGCACTTTTAAATTAAAAAAGCCAATTTTGTAAAAAAAAAAAAATATTACAGGATCTAATTTTATATGGTTTCTGGATCCTCACATTTAGGAAAATTTTATACTCTTTATAAAAAATAAAAAAAAAAGTGCAACTTCTGCAGGAAAAATCAATTGAGATATTTCACTTCTGAATTTGGGATATATGAGATCATTTTCAATTTGCTTTGAAGGGCCAATTAAACAGCAAAACCTCAGACCACAAATGCTTCTTATAACGAACAAACTGGTTTGCAGATATATCTGAACAAATAAATATGTTGGATGATGAATTATAATTATGTCTCCAGTTACTAACACTTATGTCTGTAACAAATCATTTTCAAAGGTGTTTTGAGGTAACCTAAGCCACAGAATAAAAAATTTAACATACAGTAACATAATTTTAATATTTTTGCTGCTTAACAATTATCAAAGACAAGAAACTCTGAGATCATGAATTTAGCTTGCTCAAAATTATACCCAAATTGAAGATTTTGAAGGGAAGAGAGGGGAGATGTTTTTGTCATCTATGATATTATGTCTCTATGCAAGACCATGGACTTGGAAGTTACTGATGCAAATATGGATGAGTTACTACAGGACCATAAATGAGTTCATGAAGAAAGAAGTGGAAGAACTTCACAATCAGCAACAAAAGATGATTGTGGAGAAAGTGTCTTTAAAGGAAGAGAAGATTAGCTTAGTTCTTTGACATGAAAATAGTGCAAAATAGGATAAGGTGAAAAGTTTCATGGAATGATATCCCTCTAGTAAAGTAGGAGCAAGCTACAGGATAAGCATTTTTAATGTTAATGCCATGTCTCACGTCAGAAACATTTAAAACATAGACAACAATTAATAATATTGGACATATTTTAAATGAAAAGAAAGCCTAGAAAGAGCCCAGTGGCACTAAAAGACAAAGAAAAGATAAAAGAAAATGCTCCAGAAAGACAGCCAATTCATATTTTTATGGATGGGGATTCATCATCCAAACAATAATATTTCTTTTTTTTCTCTTCTTTACCACTCTTGTTGAGGTTAGTTAGGTTAGGTTATTTAATTACAGCAAAGCCTCAAGGGCTATCTGCCTAAGGGGAGAGATGCCTCCACTCTTGTTGAGGAACGGATTAATCGATTTTAGATTAATTCTTATGGAGAAGATAGTTTCAGTTTAAGCATTTTGCATGACAAATATCCTTCAGAAATGAATTAAATTCCCAAACTGAAATGTCACTGTATTTTTATCGGACACTCGGAGGAAGGAAAAGTGTATTATCTGTGAAAACCTGGAATTTCTCAAATAGTGCAAAGTTATCATGTTTCAGTTTTGGGGAACAGAACAACCACAAAGGAAAACATGACTAAAAACTTAAAAATTGATGAAAATGAATTTATATGATTTATTCTTGTACAAGAAAATTCTTCAGTTGAAAAACATTCTAAATACTAAATGAAAGGGCACCGAATGTTTAAGTACAATTCCAGGTGAAAGCTCTGAAAGAGGACCAGAAATACCTAATTTCCAGAAAACAGGTGAACCTCGAAGATAAGAAAAGTCTATCAGCAAAATTGTGTTAGTTTGGTAAACTGGGAAAATGTTGCATATCTAGAAATTATCATAGAAATTCTATCAAGATCTGACACAGAAAAGCAGAAAGCAGCTATGCATAAGAATACAAAAAAAATATTTGATGAAAACAGCACTTGATTTAATGAAAATAACTTGAATACATGTGAATTAATCAACCTATCAGAAAATCAAAAAGCCACTGACTACAAAACAGACATTTAAGGTGAAACCTTTTGCCAAAGTTTGCTCGCAAAAGTATGGAAATTAATTACAAAGAAATGTTTTTGCCTCCAATTCACTATAATTCTATTTGTACACTACTCATGTTAGTTGTTGAATATGAACTACACATACATCAGATGGATGTGCAGACAGATTATTTGAATGGGAAAAACTGATGAAGAAATTTTTATGTCATAACTACAAGGTTTTACAATTTCTGAAGGCAAAGCATGCACACTTAAAATGTCAGTTTCAGTCAGAAAAAAAGGGGAAGTAGAACTTAAAACTTGGTGAAATCTTACAGAAATTAAAATTCAAAAAAATTAATTTTTAATAATTGTATTTAGAAGAAATTAACAGACAAATGTATTATTATTGCTCTTTATGTTGATGACTTGACAATTCCAACTAAAAAGAATCTTTGATGATAAATATTACGAAAACTCTCAACAAATCTTTCAAAATAAGGGACTTTGGGTAAAATAAAGCAGTGTTTAGGCATTAGCACTGAAAAATTAAAACAACAATATATATCACTTTGATAAGTTAAATGCACAAAAGCTATATCATCCAAGTATGATATGCAAGAATGTAAACCCATATGAGCACCTTTAGACCCTAGTATTAAACTCTGTAAATCTTTAAATATCATTAAAAAAGTGTAAAGTACAGACAAAAACAAGTATTAATATTTTATTTGGCTGTATCAATACAACCTAACATTGCAAATTCTATTAGTAGACTCAGTCAGTTAGCAGTAATCCAAAATACCTTAAGTGGATTCAAGGCACAGCATGTGGTATACTATCTTAAATCCACATTAAAATAACTTACTGGAGACAAATGAAAGTCTTAAATGTTATGTAGGCATAGATTGGGCCGGAAATTCTTACGATGAGAGATTTTTTTGTGGCTACAGTTTCATCTCAATGGGTTTTCCGATTTCTAGGGAATCATGCAAGCAAATAATTGTAGAGCTTTCAAGCATCAAGGCAAAATACTTAATGTAAATCAAATCTTCTAAAGAAGCAATGCACTTGAGTTCATTATTAAGAGAACTTGGTATTTCAGAAAAGAAAGCAAGACTAATTATGCTGTGGACTGATAATCAAAAGTGCATGGCATTTAGTAAAGAATCCAATTCCTCATTTTAGAATAACACACTTCATTTCATGATATTAGTTATTTCATGGTGAAGAAACTGAATGTTAAATATGCATCTACATCAGGAATGCCCACTAATATTTTAAAAAAGAATCTCAGCACAGGCTATCTATAAATTTAGGTCTTAAGGTTTAACTATTGAATGTATTTTCGTTTTATTCTGCTTTTCCATTCCTTGAGGGAAAGTCTTGTAATTTGCATTTTGAGTACATTTGCATGGTACTGAAAAAGGTGACAACATGAAATTTAACACACCAGAAGCCTAAAGGCAATAAATGTTCACAGATAGAGTAGCATTCAGTATCCACCATGTACCAATGCATCTAATTTAGGAATTTATGGATGCAATCATAGTGTCTGCTGACTAATAATTATTCTTTGTGAGTTGTTTTCCCATGATGTAGTAATGTCAATGTGGTCAACATTATCTCCTGATTTTCTGAAGTACAAGAAATGTGTACCTCAAAATGTGTTGATAATCATGTTTATTTAAGTAAAAAAGAATGTATTGTTCTGCATCTTTATATGTAAAGAACTCATTTTTATTATGTCTAAATGTTTTCCTGTGGATTTCATGGCTTTACATTATGCCACACAAACGAAATAACAAAAATCATGTAAACAAATACATCTCCTCCCAAAAAAACTGGCCTTATTTTCTGTTATATAAATAGCTCATGTAACCATATGCACCTACCCTAAAACCAGAAAAATAAAATCACTTAAATACTGTTGCATGGCAAACTTTTGTTTCCACGAAGATGAATATTCTCCCTTTTTATAATAATTATCATGAAAATAAAAATAATTAGAAAATCTAGGATTGTAACAAAATATTTTGAATATAAATTTGTTAGAAATATAAATGAATATAAATTTATTAGAAAAAATTAATAATAATAATGGTGTACATGAATGGCATACTAAAATAATGAGAATGCTTTTTGTTTTCAGCAGAAGCCCAGTGCAGTAACTAGCGCATCATGCAGCAGCACCACAGGTCAGGGGTTCAATTCCTGGGCTGGGCAAGGTTGACTCAACCTTTCATCCCTTGAGTGGATCAATAAAATGAATACCAAGTTCGCTTGGGGACTAAGCATTGGGGCTGACCACTTGTTTAGGACATATGCTCACACACCCCAAGGCCCACGGTCAAGAAAGCAGATTTCGGACACTGCAAACGTTGGCTACTAGGGTTGTTGTGCCACTGAGTTTAGTTTTTAGTTTTGTTTTTAGCAACTCATTGTATTATCTAAATAAAGATTTACACACTTAATATCTTAAAGAAAATTAATTGAAGGACTGTAAACTGAAGCTAGCTAACTGCATAAAGTAAAATAGGTAAAACTAAATTTATTCATGCATTAGGAAAATTTAAACATTACTCAACAAATCTAAATGATCTTAAAACTGACAATTTCAAGTTGAAAAATAACATGATAAAATTATCATGAAATATCATGAAAACTTTCTGATTTAAATTATTATTTCAAAGGGCTAAATAATTTTCACATGCATAAGCCTGTATCAAAGAGAAGTGATTTTGAATCAATTCAATAAATCTATTCATTTCAAATCTCCCTGAAACTTAGATTTTGAAAAGAGCTTCATATAAAGCAAACAAAATTTAGAGAAGTAGCTTATTTTTCCCAGCAGAAATAAAAAAATTAGATTATTAAATTACTACATTTTTATTTGTCATGCTTAAATAAGTACAAACAATCATTTTAATAGTTAGCTTAAAAAATAAATATAAAATTGAAGATAAAGTTGTATTTTTAGCATGGAATACTTACATCATGTATTAAATTTGAAAGAATACACATTACTTCCTCATCTTCAATAACATCATCATCTTCATATTCCTGCAGAAGAAATAATAAAATCATTTGAAGAATTTTACATAGTTCACAGAAGAACAGATTTAAACATTTACTCAAAAAATTTGGCAACATAGTGTAATATGATATGATAGATCAAAATTTTAATGCACAACTAAAACCAGAAGTAATCAATTTGAATAACCAATAGCAGGTATAAATAATTTACATATAGTAAAATAACATTTCATGATCTACTTCAAGAAGAATGTTTCCTAGGAGAATCTTCTACAGTAAAATGAGTCTATTCACAAAACCTTAAAGATTAATGCAGCCAATCTATCTAGTCACTGAGAATTCAGTACAAAGGATCCAGTTATTCACTGGTGCACCACAAGAACATCGAATTGCTAGATACACAGAACATTAATAGCATTCAAAAACAATCAAGATTAATGGAAATTTTATTTCACTTTAGTCCACTGGATTTAGTCCACATGCCCAATATTTGTGTATTAGCCATATAAAACAAGGTAAAGAAAATGACAACATTTTATATTCCAAAGAAAAAGTAATAATAATTTAATAAGCAATAAATATTAGTAAACATTTTGGAGGAAGGAAAATCTTTTGAAACAATGGCATGAACATATTCTAAACGTTTGCATTACAGTATCTTGAAAAAGTAAATGGAAATTTCTATTAATGGACAATATGCTGCTCTGGAAAAGGCTAAAGAAGAATTATTGGAAATACCTGGTTCAATTTTAATAAAGATAGCATCCCCCCTACATCTCATTCATAAAAGTAACTACTAACCATTTTAAGTCTTGCAATTTAAAATTATTTTTAATCTCTAGTGTCACAATTAAAATCTTCTGTGGTATTCGAATAAAAGTATGATGCACCGACACTCAAATATGAGAAAGAAAAGCTATGAGCATCAAACATAAAGAACTGATCAAACATAAAATATCCTACACTTCCATTTCAATTTCAGAACATACAGGGCTGTACAATCAATTTTATTTTATCAAACAATTTTCATTTGTATTTTTTTTATTAAATAAGCATACTCTTCAGGAAAAATCTTAATTTTGTTTCAATAAATTTGGATACATTTATGTTAATACTTATAAAATAAGAATTATAGCAGACAGATAATGTAACTGTTTTTAATACAGTATAAAACATCTACAGATTTTTTTAAAAAATCTTTATTGGAAGCTTGAAAGTTTTCTCTCTTATGATTGATTAGCAGTAAAAGTATTTATATTTTTAGCACATAATGCTGAAACATTCTTTTAAAAATACACTATACAGTCCAAGATCCGGAATGATCACGACTGGATTCAATCCAGAATAAAGATTCTAGAGTTTGGAAATTTTCAGATTTTAGGTCACCAGTTTAAATCTAGTAAAGTGAGATGCAGACATGGCAACTTCAAGGTTTCACTTACTGTTTAGGTCAGACAAAAAAATTCTAACCCCTCTGCAGAGTTGGTGCAAACCAAGAGGAAAAAGATTAAGCAGTGACAAAATTTTTTTAATTTAGAGGAGCACTGAGCAACAAAAATTGGGGATGGCAAATTTTTTAGAATTTAGCTAAGACACTGTGCAGCAAAATTTTTAAGATTTAAACAGGCACTGGGAATCAGAATTTTGGGCCCACAGAAATAGTACTAAATGGCAAAATGTGTAGTTCTGGCCCTACCCTCCTCACAGCCATGGCCGAATTGATTCTGACCAGAATCAATACTATGTCAATCAACATATTGTCATTGGCTACTGTGTGGCTTCCTAGCCAGCAAGTGTTTGAAATCAGGCAGGAAGCTTAGTTAGTTGGGAGTATAACCGCATTTACGGCATGCCTGCTTCCTTTTTTGAGTTATTATTGTCCATTCCTACACTTTAGGGGGCCGGATTTATTTTTTTGGACTGGTGGTCCAGAGGTATAAATATTGGGTGTTGGATTTTGGACTTTGTACTATAGTACTATTTTCAAAAACCACATACAATTTTAGATTTTCATTTATTTTAAAACAGAAGTTGCAAACAAGAAGAAAATCAATATTCACAGCTAATGCTATTTTTAATTACTTAAAAGAGTATTCTTTCTATCATGATATGAATAAGAAGCTGTTAGAAAACAACTAATGTAAAAGTTAATTATAAGTTACATGTAAATAAGGAAATATATACATTTTTAAAAATATGCCAATATAACAAAAGCCCAACTATCCAGCATTCAGGTAACTGGAAAGCTCATATAGCCAGACTATTTTATAATTTGAGATTTTTTGCCAAAAAATTACGCAAATGAGACACTTGTTATCATAAAGCATACACAGCACTATTACTTAGGATTCCACTTTTGACATTTAATATGTGAATACAATTACATGGCTATCTTTTGGAATATTTAGCTATTCACTTCATTGTTGTATCATTGTTTTATTGAAAAAATTCATCCTTATGACTTGATAATCCTCATAGATATCTTTTCAATTGAAACACTTTCAACAAAGAAAAAGAAATCGTTAGATAGTGCGATTTAGTGCCAATAATGGATAAAAGTGATGTCACAAACAATCATAAGATTTTTGCTATTCTTATATGTAAATCTGATTCATTCTTAACAAGCTGGTTTAGTTTTTATAAGTTAATAATCTATCCTTTCCTTGCATTTTGAGAAAATATTAAAATGTGGACCTGCTCTAAGGAATAGCATGCAACAAAGTATTTTCAAAGTTACAGAATCCTGACATCAAGAAAAGTTGCAATGCACTTTATTTCAAAACGGATAAACAACAGTGATGCAAAGTGAAAAATTATGATGTGCAATTTAAGTTTTTGATATGTTATATCCATAACTTGTTGATCATCTTAATAAATAAAAAGCTGTCTCCATCAAACTTCTGCCAGTATGAGTAGTGCAAATTTGATGAGATCTAAGACAACTTTCATTATTGATAGGATTTTAAAATTTGCTATGATATTTTATGTTCATATTCTACCAAAATACATTGACTTTTGTATATGAAATGCATATCTTTTTTTAAATCTTATATAATTTCAAATGTAAGCTTTTGCTAATAAATCAAATGACCGTTTCAGTAATTTTAGACAGTTTCCCCCAATTCATTTAGCTTTTCTCTCCTGAAATGCACATCTTTTATATGCACAAGCCATCTGGCATTATCAAGGATGCGGCATTCAACATTCCCTTAGCTTTCCATTCCAGACAGTCAAGCTTTCACTATATAAAAACTTACCTTCCTAAAATTTAGTGCAGCTTTGAAAGCACTAACAGGAATAATATGAGTACGCAGCAGAAGAGAACTGTAAAGAAAATTCAAATATTAATGTAATACAAGTAGGCATATAACAGTAAAATACTCAATAAACAGCTTTAAGATATACATATCAATGTTCCAAAACATTAAAGTAAACCCTTACAGAAAGCGATTTCCTATCTTAATTGTTTCTATTAATTTGGTCAGTGCTAGAATTTCATTTATATGTGGTTCAACATTCATTCATCAATGTAGAATGCTTGCTGACATCTCAGAAATTATCAGCAATGCTTAAGAACTTCCAGTGACTGAAAATCAAGTGAAAAAAGGTACAACTTGCAAAAAACAATTGGAAGCAAAGGGTTTTTAAATATGAAGTCAATGAATTAGTTGAAAAATGATAAGTAAAGAACTGGATTATCTTATAACAACAGAAGACAGTGAAAGCAGTCATAATGGAAAAAAAAATAATAATAATAATAAAGCACTTTTTTTACAAGAAATTAAACAAATTGTTTAAAAAAAACATAAACTGTCTGATTTTGCAGTAGAGATTGACCTAAATATATTAACAAAAGACTACGATAGGCACTGAAAACTCTGTACTCCTCCATGAAAATTTTAAAGACTTACATTAGTTACAAGCCCTAAGCAAAAATCACTAGCCTTTTAAAAAATTTATTTTATTGTGTACTCATTAAGCAACAATAAAAATTATTTCACTTGACATTTGTTTATTTTTTTAATTACATATTTAGGTTTGTTCAAATTAAACGTACTTTTTCGAATCTACATTTTAAATCTGAATTACATCTAACAGACTTTTCTCATAAAAAGCTAATTTTGCAGAACGTGATTTTGCTGTATGCACAATATATGACATAACCCCTGCCTTTCGATACAGTTTATAGTATATTTTTTCTGTGTTAATGCATGAAATTGAACCAAATCAAATAAAAATCAACATTACTAAAAAATATAAAACTAATGAAAAATAAAGCTTTGAAATTGTTACTACACTATGAAATGTAATCCAAAATCATTAATGCATGACAGTTCCATTTTCCTTTACCTAAAGAATTTGTAGTATATATATATATATATATAATATATATATTTTTTTTTTTTTTTTTTTTTTTTTTTTTTTTTTTTTTTGCTTTACAAGCTTTATTTATTTCAAAGCCACCATCTAATTCCTTACATACATATATGGTTAAAATGTTTCATATCCTAAGTTAAAAAAATTTTTATAACTGCACAAGCACAACTAAACAAATTTCAGAAGGAATTAAATAAGCCAAAAAAAAAAAAAAAAACATGAATTGCACTTTGTACACTGATAAATTGCATGATCATATTTCTAAGATTTCCATACAGGGAAAACAAACATCAAAATAAGTCTATGAAATTCAGAATTTCTAAAGATCATATAATATTGGGTTGTTCGGAAAGTAATTTCGTTTTTTTCCCGTCAGAGGACTTAATTACATTTTTTCGAAACCAACTTCACACTTAAGCCGCATAAGCATTATATGTCTTGAGAGCTGATATTACAAGGCTTGTGTGTGAAAAAGTTCTATTAATTCTACGCAGTAGTTTTTGGTTGGTGCCCTTTTAAATATGGAGAGCAATAAGCAGCCTTTTCGTCATATTTTAATTTTTTACTTCAGAAAAGGTAAAAATGCTATCCAAGCGAGAAAAAAATTGACGAATGTGTATGGAGAAGGCGTGTTAACAGTACGCCAGTGCCAGAACTGGTTTGCAAAGTTTCGATCCGGCAATTTTGATGTCGAAGATGCACCACGGTCTGGAAGGCCGGTCGAAGCTGACAAAGATGCGATAAAGGCATTAGTTGATGCAAATCGGCGAATAACCACACGAGAGATCGGCGAGAGGTTAAATTTGTCGAATTCGACTGTTTATGGCCACTTGAAAGGCCTGGGATTAACCTCGAAGCTCGATGTGTGGGTGCCCCATGTTCTTACGGAGCGAAATTTGTGTTGTCGCGTTGACGTGTGTGATTTGCTCCTCAAACGTCAGGAAAATGATCCATTTTTGAAGCGGATTATTACTGGGGACGAAAAATGGGTCGTATACAGCAATGTGAAACGCAAGAGGTCATGGAGCAGAAAACATGAACCGGCTCAAAGCGTTTCAAAAGCCAACATTCACCAAAAAAAGGTGATGCTGTCCGTTTGGTGGGATTTCAAAGGAATCGTTTTTTTTTTTTTTTTTTTTTTTTTTTTTTTAAAGCTTTTACCGGAGAATACAACTATTAATTCGGAAGTCTATTGTTATCAGCTGGACAAATTGAATGAGGCACTTAAACAGAAGAGTCAAGAATTAACCAACAGGAAGGGTGTAGTGTTCCACCAGGATAATGCAAGACCTCATACAAGTTTGGTCACTCGCCAAAAGCTTTTACAGCTTGAATGGGACATACTGCAACACCCACCATATTCTCCAGATCTGGCACCTTCAGATTATTATTTGTTCCAGTCCCTGCAAAATTTTTTGGATGGTAAAACCTTTACCTCAAATGAAGATGTCAAAAACCACCTGAATCAGTTTTTTGCCAGCAAGGACCAAAACTTTTATGAGCGGGAAATCATGTTACTGCCAGAAAGATGGCAAAAGGTGTTGGACCAGAATGGCCAATATATAATTTAATAAAATATTTATTCATTATACGAAAATTGTCTTTCATGTTCCCCCCCAAAAAAACGAAATTACATTCCGAACAACCCAATATGTCAGGTTGGCTTAATTGGACAATGTATGCCAATTAATTTATCTTAAGATTAATCCCCTTAGAAAAAGATTATTAATTTGAATCTCTAAAATTTTTTAAACTCTTATAAGTTTATGTTTCTAAGTCAACAAATAAATTTATAACAAACACAAAATTAAAATAATGCTAATAATTAATCCATCCATTTTTTTGCTTTCCCTTTTCTTAAAACTACCAACAAAATTATCAAACTATAACTTTATAAACTGGAAGTAAATTAAAAATTTGGAAAAAGTAAAAGTACTGTGGGGGAAACAAATCTGAAGTTGTAATAATAAATAGATGGCAAAATTTCATCACTTTTCAGCATATATACAGTACAATATGTAAATTTCCTCACACTTTCTTAAAAAGATTTCTGTAGATTATTGTTTTCAGTTTCTCTAGAACTAAACGAATTCCCCATTTTATGAAGAAATCTTCAGAAGCTTCTAAAGCAGCTCCAAATCTCTGAAGATCTCCATCTCTAAAAAACAGAAATTATATGAATTGATATTTAATACAAACACATATGTATATATACGCACACATATTCAGAGGCTGAACATAAATTGAAGAGTAAAAGTTCACATTTGTAAATTTAAAAAAATAGAATGTCATTTTAAAAAAGCTTTCTCATAGCAAGATATTATGCTGCAAGTGTTTCTATGTAGGTTATTGTGAAAAGTATTGATCAGAGTACTTTTTTTTAATGGATACCTTATTCACAAAATCTTATATAATTTGTATTTTAGAAAACTACTTTAAGTCGTTGGTAACTGGTATGCTTCAATATTGGCATGTAGCTAATTCATGACATTATTTACATTAATTAAAAAGGAAAAATATTGATAGTTTAATGAATATTTGTATGATTACCAGATTATTATTTCAAAGTAATAAAACTTCTTGAAAATATTAATAATGTATTTTTACACTTTGAAAAACCTATAAATTCCCATGTGAAAATTCTTTTGACATACTAAATATAAGAAAATTGTAAATTAAAGAGATGAATGACAAAAACATATTGAAAGGCATTTAAGGTGAAAAATTGAACTTTTAATTAATGTGATTTGTCTAGTGACTGAACAGTAAATGCAAATTCAAAATGATGTCATATACCACAAATTTTGAAATTAAGTACCTTGGTTAATTTTTATTGTATGGGAGTCTAATTTTCATCTATTTCTTATAACAAGTACAAAATTTTCCTAAATATAACAACCACATGAACATGTAAAAAGGTTTCATATTTTATACAAAATTAATGTTTTTTAATTTAAAAATATGAAAACATGAATCTTTGCATCATTTAAAATGCTTTTTGCACTTGGAAGTACATGTCTATGACCAACGGTTATGAAACTAATCATCAGATAAGGATTTTTATGGACACGGTGTACATTATGTATTTGCAAACTCTTATAAACAGCACACATTTTGCAACATACTCAAATCACTTTCAGTATACATTAAGTTTAACCAACCTACAAATTTTTTATGCATAAAATAGCTAGGAAAAGATGTTTGATATCTCTATCAAACATTATGAAATCAGAATGAGAATAATTGGCATCGTGATTTCCAATAAACCAGTTCATTTTTTTCACTTTAAATCTACAAAATTTTTTTCATATTCCATGATTATCAGGGTAGACTATAATAAATATAACAACTGGAAAAAGAAATTTTGTATTCTTTTTATTTTTAATATTTGCAAATGATTTTAAAAAAATGAAGAACATTTAAACTCTTTTTCCTAAAAGAACCGTATTTTTAACTCATATTTTATTTTAAAGAGTTACATTTTTAAAATTAAATTAAGATTTATATAATTTTTTGTTAACAGTTTCAGTTTTCTTTTCAACAGCTGAAACTGAAAAGTATAATCAGCTGATAAATTAGTAATTAGGTTAAGAGATATTTTAAAAAATCTGCACTTAACACCACTTGCACAAAAAAGGGGTGGACAGCAAATTTGAAGTGAAAAAAAGCAAAACGAAGAAAAGTTTTTTTTCTTGATTCCCATTTGTAGCTAAGACAATCTATTTATACTTCATACTATGAATAATTGTATGAAGTATATACTTATGTATATATACTACATACAATTTATATATGAAGTTACTGCTTTAGAAATAATATATAATGCTTTCTCATATATGAACCAGAAGTATATTAATGCTACTAAATTGTTAGACTTAGCTATAAATTAAGACTAAACATCAAAATCCTATGAGATTCAAATAACCATCTATCTACCAGCATAAATGCATAAATAATATTTTTACGGCATGCTTTAACAATACTTTAAGTATTATTAAAAAATATTATTTATGCCCAGTACATTTAAATAATACTTTTTAAAATAATAAACTAAAAATTACTTTACAGCTTGCACCAGTTCAGCAAACTGCATCAGACCATACTTCTGTAACAGGTACATGGATGGCATTATCCCCTACAGAGAGATTTTAACTCAAATTAACATACTTAAAATTATAAATATCAGTTTCTCTAATACGTAAAATGTAATATGTAAATTTTCACAAAATAAAACAATAAACAAGATTTAAACCAGTGTCCTCTAATTTCGTAATCTCGTAACCCATATGCATATACAGTATCTATTGTCCGGGTACGGATTATCCATGCGTGGGATAAATATATAAAATGAAACTTTTGGTGACTCGAAAAGGAAAAGGCCTTGCTCATTTAAGGGGATTGAAATGAAAAATCTTGCAGTCAAGAAGATGCATGGATGAAAAGAGATATTCAAAGACTGGTTTAAAACTAAATGGGTTCTTGAAGTGAGGAATTTTTTTAAAAGTAAAGGTTTACCAGAAAAAGCAGTATTGCTATTATATAATTCACCTTCTCATCAAAACAAGACCATTAAAAAAATTACTGCCAAACGTTACTACTTTAATTCAGGCAATGGACCATGGCATAATATCATCAGTGAAATGACTTCACGATTCTGGTCTTCTCATAACTCTTGAGAGGAAGTTGATGATTTAATGAAATTCTGGAAAGCATTGACTATATTGGATGCCATATACAGAGTAGCAAAAGCTTGGCCAAAAGTAAAACAACTCTTTGATCATGAAGAAAAATTCTTCCTAATAGATAAACTGAAGATTTATCTAATATGAAGAAGTCAAGGCAATAACTGAAGCTGAAAGCCAAAGAACTGAAAATGTAAAATTGACCTAAAATGTTGATAGGGAAAATATCGAGGAATGGTTCGATGGCTATTCAAATGAGCTGCACTTTCAATGCTTAAATGATGCCAATATCATTTCAAATGTCACAAGAACAGAAGAGCAGCAAGTCATACTTAAAATACAAGCAAAGATGATACTGACAGTTACATTAATACTGAGAGAGCAATGACTTCTGACGAATTTCATCGACCAAAGAGGATTCATTTACAATGATAAAATAGTACATCAAAAATACACAGTTAAATTCATTATTTATTTAAATTTTCTAAAAATAAACTAAAATTACTGATTTTTTTAAAGAAATAAACAGATACAATATGCACAAAAACCCTGTTTTTGGTGATAAATACAAATGAAATAGCAAAAAAATGGGAGGGGAAGGAGAAAAGAAAAGAATATTTTCTTGAATCACAAAATTGTTTTATTCCACTACATTTTGCCATCTGTCAGGCAAATGGAAATTTCTTTTTTGGAAAAACATTAGGTTTATTATTAAAAAAGCTGTTGAGGTGCTGTTTAACAATCTCCAGTGAATTTCGACTATTCAGAGAATTTTGAAGTGACCTGAAGAGATGAAAATCTCAGGGGGCAAGACCTATTTAACATGGGGAGCTGACACAAATATTTCAGTCGAACCCATATATCTCTGCCCAACGTTTATTGAAATGCTGCACTGAACAGTGTCACGATGAAAACATCTCAACGGTTGTTCAGTTCTGTGTATAATACTTTGATTTCAGTTTTTAAAACTACCATTTCACATTTTTCAAAATTTGTTGTTAGTTTGGTGGCAACAATTCTTCTTATACAATTCCTTTGCAGTTCTACCATATATGAAGCATTATTTTCTTGGGATGCAGAACTCCCTCACAATGTTACTAAAGGAAAGTTTTCTGAACTATACCATGATCATTTTCTTATAACATTATTGCACAGCATCAATTTCTCAACTTTCAAAAAAGAAGCTTCTTTATTTCTTTTCATTAAGAATCACGTGAAGAAATGCAAGCAAGTGAATTCTACTTCGTTAAAGCATGGGATACCCACACATATCATAGCAGCTTACACACCCAATCTTCTTCAAATGATCATGTACTGTATTTTTTAGAATATTTAGGAATATATAGTCTATTTGATAGTTTTTGAGCTGTGTAATGTGGATTTTCAGTAACAGCTTCTTTTTAGTCCTTGTTTACAGTTGATGGCCATACAGAGCAGATATCACCTTCGAGGCTGAAATTTCACAGCTTAATTTCTCAAATCCCTTTGAAACTGTACATATTATCAGAAACAGAACTTTGTCCATATACAGTATAAATTTTATGAGCAGCCTGACTAATAAAATTTTACTTTTTTAAAATAAAAAATATCATAGGATGAAAATGAACTTTCTCCATTCTTAGCACTACATTGACACAAAAATTATGCCCAAACACATGCTAGAATTATGCACTGTAAACAGAAAATATCATAGTTTAAGCACCCGCTTCGATCAAGGTCACGCTTTATCAGCAGTAACAAAATAATTAGAAGAAATTGCACTTTGATTTGAAAAACTGCAGAATTTTCAAGATGACTCAATATATGCTACTTAATAACTAAATGAGTGCTTTAAAACTTACTGTGATTCAGCAACCATTGTCTCCCCACACATTGGCCGAAATAACTCACGGGAGCACTGATTTAAATACTTTTCAAAAGGCAAAATTCATCTGATTGAATGCATATAATAATTTACCCAATATTACATTCACTAATATATTATAGGCCAAATACTCATATTTTTAAAGAGGAAGATTAGAAGTTTAGAAAAAAACAGATAAAATCTTTATGCAATACGAATGCACACAAATTATTCGAAACATCAGAAAGTATCAATTTATATTTATCAATATGTTATTTGTGAAACACAATAGTCAGTAAAAAAAAAAAAGAAAAGAAAAGAAAAGAAACATTACTGTAAAACTTTTTTAAATATAGCAATTTTAAATTTTAAATCTTGGAAAATTCATTGTAATTATGTAGATAGCACAAAGCAAACAAAGAAACTTTTTTAAAAGCAGGGTTTTAGAGTTAAACAGTAATATTTTTTAGAAGTTAACTAATTTTAATTCCATAATTTAAAAAGAAAACATACATAATCATGATTTAAAATGATTTAATGATCATCTTTAATCAGTGACAAGAGTAAAATGCTAAATCTCAATGACAATAAAAAATGCTAAATCTCAAATAGCCATCATAGATTGTGCCCTCATAACAGTTTATTAACAATACTATTAAATTTTTATACAATTTTTTTTAAGTTGACAATAAAGATTTAAATTATCATATAATATGGCTCTGCACTCTTATATTCAAATGCTAAAAAAAATTTTATTTAGCATAAACAGCTGTAATATAGTACAACTTCTTCAAACAAATTAGAAATATAATTTAAATATTTTGCAATATAATAATAATTTAGATATTATATAATATAATAAAATATTTAGATATTTTGCAGCAAATTAAAAAGAGGGAGTAGACTCCTGGTTTTCTAAATCAAAGTTAATTCAAAATTTGCACAGAAACTGCACTCATTAAAATTATTCCATTTCTCACAAATTTGAATATTCTTTTAGCATAACGAATGCAAAACACAAGAGAAACATGCCAAAGTAAAACATAAAATTAGACAAAGCAACAACCTTGTGTTTCACATAGATTTCATCAAGGCTCTATCGATCCGAAGCTAAACAGGTTAGAGATTCCTCTTCATCAGGAGCAAAGGAAAAGCCAAGGTTGTATTTATATCCAAAAGGAGTAAAGCAAATAGGAAAGTAATTCCATCTGCCAGCAGAAATAATAACAATAATCGAAAAATTAAGTTAATATAATTGTAAAAGTGTTCAGAAGGACTCGATTAAATTCATTACTTAAACAAAATAAATCTTTATGAATGTTGAAAACTTCAAGAAAATCCAGTTTGCCAATGCAAGCTTTTTGAATACTTTTTGCAGATCCATAGTCAAAATTGTGATTAAATTTCCAACTATGATTAGGATTCAAAGACTTGTTAATTTTGCCTTTTCAGACATAAAATTTGTGCCCCTTGATGCTGTGGACATAAAATTCGCATCCTTAAATACTCTTTTAATTTGGCTCATGTGTCTCCAACCACACTGACAAGATATTTTATAAATTTCTCAATTAAAGTCAGAAATGGAATCTTTAAGAATCAAAACATGGATTTCATCGATAGGCAAGAAAAGCATTTGAAAATTTAACTTCCGGAGAATCCATGTAATTTTGTAACTGAGAGAAGTATGAAACCAAAACATTACAAGGTTATTAATATTATTTCTAACAGTGGAATGTCTTCTACGATAGCAAGTTAAAAATTTTTTAAAGGTTTTATCAATGACCATGGGAGAAAATTCTCAAGTAATGGCAAATGATTTCTAATAAATGAATTCATTAGCATGCAATGGTTTTGAAGAACAAATTCTAACAGTGTGAAAAACATAAATGTAAAAAGGAGTCATTTTTTTTTCCTTAGCTGGGTGACATAGCATTGGGAAGCAAACAAATGGAAGAAAGAGTTTATAGTAATTAAGTTTAAGATGTTAACTGGATGGCTGGATTAGTCTAATTTATAACAAATCTGGGATAAATCTTCTCCACTACTATAAAAAAAAATCACCACATTTTCTTCTGCAAAATTCTTTATTAATTTTTGGTTGTATCAATAGTGTTGTTTTGTTTTGTACTGTATTGTTTTCTTTATTTTTATTTTAATATTTTTCTTCATATTATTTTGACTGGCCTGGGCTATATTTTTGCACTTTTTTTGTGCTTGTTCCATTTTCGGAATATGTCAATAGACAGGAACCGATTTTATCAGGTACACCTTAAGTGTATGAAGTTCTTGAACCATCCCCCCTATTTTTTTGTTTAAATGCAAACAGCAGAATATCATTCTCAAATTTATATAAGTCAAATGCAGGTCTTAAATCTTCTGCTCATGTTTAAAAAATTATGCATGAATTCAAACTGTCACTTCTTCGTCTGTACAAATGTTTCTCTAAAATTGAATGTGAATTATATTACCTTCATATAACAATTAGCAATTCTACATTAAGTTTTCCTCAAATGATAGCAAATCTTGGTCCAGAACAGATATTGCTTGTCAACGCCATAGAAAACTGTTTGTTTCTAAATTCTGTAAGCTCACACCCTAGTCAGTTAGTCCCACCCATCTTGTTAATGATCCCACTGTAAATAATAATCCCATTAGTATCTCTAACTTTAATCTTTCAGAGTATCAGATGAAAGAATGATAATATAACTTCTAAACTGTCAGTTCCTCAAACTATTACCCCTTTTGAAAAACCTTTCACATTCCCTAAAATTTCAGAACCACAGAATGATACAATCCACCACTTAATTACTCATAATGTGAATTTAATAACAAATTTTTTGTTTTGAATTTTAGCCAAAGGAAAGGAAGTCTTTACATGAAATTCATTCTAAGCCTAACATTATAATTTCTGAAGCTGATAAAGGTGGACAGATCACTGTTATAGACAAACATACATACATTGATGGAGTCACAAAACTCATAACTAAAGGTTTATGCCACTCAATCTCTAAAGATCCTTCATCTTCTGATCTCATGAAAGTTAACACATCTGCTAAATCTTTTCATATACTCCAAACTAGTTTAAAAAATCATTCATTTCACCTGTTGGTAACTGTGCTTTTATGCTTTCACCAAAGTCCATAAAACTGGAATCCTTTTTCGATTTGTAGTTTCCAACTTAGAAAAGGCACATATCCTTTGGTCAAATATTTAGTGTCCACATTTTCTCCTTTACTTTCTAACAATATTCACACAGTGAAAAATTCTTTTGAAGTCATTGATAAACTTAGATATTTCTACTTTGCACTTCATAACAGTTTCTTTTGATATTAAATCAATATTTACTAATGTTACAGTTGAAGAACTAAAATACCTTGAAACTAGGCTCCGAGAATTCCATTTCACACATACCAAAATTGATGATTTAATTTCTGTTACTGAAATCTCTCTCTGTTAACACAATTTGTTTTTCAAAATGAAAATTATTGACAAATTGAAGGATTATGTACAGGATTGCCTAAGTCCTGTACTTATTGTACTTGTACAAGTCCTGTACTTGTTGACATTTACAAACATTATTTTGAGGTTAATTTATTTGAGAAACTATCTTTTTGACTCGGATGCACTACATAGGCAACACTTTCTTGTTTTTTGATGGTAATAAAGAAAATTTATCTCAAATTTTGTCTGTTATAAATTCAACTCCTCCAACTATCCAGTTCACTCCAGAAACTGAATTTGGCAATATTACTACCTTGATATTCTTATACTTCACAATGAATCTGATTTCAGGACTACTCTTTACCAACAACACTTTTCTGTTTGTTTGCCAACTTTTCTGTTTATCTGCTGACATGCTGAGTCATATCACCTAGCTAAGGCGGAAAGAATGCTTCTTTTTAGTATCACGTATTTGTGCTCTGAAATTTTGTTCCTCAATACCTTTGCTAACTAATAAACTTAATTATTTGAAATCAGCTGCCATTGATCGAGGATTTTTCTCCCATGGCCATTGATAAAAGCCTTTAAAAAATTTTCATCTTGCCATCATAGAAGACATTCCACCATTAGAGCCTTGTACTGCTTTAACATTGTTGGCTGCTATAACCTTGTCCTGCTTTGGTTTCATCCTTCTGTTTGTTACAAAATTGCAGAGATTCTCCAAAAGTTCAATTTTCAAATAAATCTTACCTATCAATAAAAATCCATGGTTCGATTCTTAAGGATACCATTTCTGACTTTAATTTTTGGGGAGTTTACAGCATATCTTGTGAATATGGTTTGAGACATATCAGCTGAACTAAAACTTCATGAAAGTTTTGCATCAGGGGGACACAAATTTTCTGTCAAAACTATCTAAAAAGCTATTTCCATTGGCAAATTGGATTTCCTTAAAATTTTCAACATTCACAAAGATATATGTTGTTTAATTAATAACTTTAATCCAGACATTTCTGACACTTATAAAATTATATTAACTTAATTTTTCAATTTTTGTTATTATTCATGCTGGCAGAGGGCATTACTTTTCTGTTTGTTTACTCCTTTTAGATATAAATACAATCACGGCTTTTCCTTCACTGCAGATTTCTCTGCTCCTGATGAAGAGGGACCTGTACTTGTTTTCACTCAAAATCAATACAGTCTTGATTAAATGTAAGCCAAGCAAAAGTTTGCTGCTTTGCCTGATTTTACTGATGCAAATTAAGAGAAATGGCTTCTGAATAAAATTTATAGCATTACTCTTTCTTTATTATAATTTGGAGACACTATTACAGCAATTAATAATAGAAAAATGTGTTGCTATATTTTAAATGCTCATTTTATTTGTCACATAGAATGAAAGAAACACTAAATAGTTTAAGTAATATTATTATTTACAGGATCTATTTATTACATTTTAAAGCAATCTCTATGCACTACTTATTGACTAATGAAGGTGTGAATTTAACCCATTTATTAAATCCAATAAATTTTAGATAAAATTTGGAATACACAAGAAAAGAAAAATTAAAATGCTAAATATACAAAGAAACATGTAAATGTCCGACACATAAAAATCTGAAGTTACATATCAAATGTACAAAATACTGCAGCTGTAGTACTTACTAGAACCATTTTAACTGTAATTAAGAATATTAGAATCAGTCTTTTGTTCCTTTTAGAATCTTTATGACAGTGTAAAAATGCAAAAGATAGATTTTCCTCAGCTGAAAAGAAAAAAAAAAAAAAAAAAAAAAAAAAAAAAGCAACTTTAATATACATTCTTATAATGATAACTGCATTTAAGTTAATATAATACAAAAAAAATTGACAATTTCAGACATTCATGTAAAAATTAGACGTTTAAATAACAATTAACTAATTAAAAGATTTTAGACTATTATATTAGCCCTAAAAAATGGCCTCACATATCAGTTTTTTTTTTTTTTTTTTTTTTTTTTTTTTTAGGGAGGGCTACATATAAGGCAGCTCTATATATAAAAGATTGACATATGAGAAATGAAATGACTGCCAAGAACATTACTTTTGTGAAAAAAGGAAGTAATTTTTTTAAACAAAAAATGATATATGGTAAATTATTCTAAAATACATTGGTGAGCAACTGAATTACAGATAGTTAGCATGCTGATGAAAATATTTAACACAAATTTGATGAATGGGAGAACGAGGTAAGGCATGCAACTGGAAACTCGTCACACTTCATACTACACAATAACATTCAAGATTCTAAGCCACAACATTTCAGCACATTTGGCTAGATCGACCAGGCCAGGTGCTTGGATCACTCTGAAGTCATGCAGCCACTGGGTTTTTCATATGTCACCTCACACCAATATTGTGAATACATGAGTTCTGATGCACCACTGCTCAAAACTTACCGTTGCAAGTAATCATGTATCGATGAAAGGACTTGCCACCAGCCATGTTGGATGATAAAAGCAGATCTTCCAAATACTAATTCAGTATTGGAGGTCTACAAAATATAAGCAGTGATAACTCCTAGAAACACCTCCTCCTTATACATAAGAGAAGCCATTATTCTACTATATATCTGTTTACAAAATAGCAAAGGCACAGAGATTAACATGGATGAGGTACACTATAACTGGATCATTAAAGCATGGGGAAAAAGTCACTTGGATTGATAAGTATTAGCTAGTACATGCTAACTGCATGGTACAAGTATGTTATAAAGCTCATGAGGCGACGCATCCCTCATGAGATAAGGTACAACTGAATTGTCAGAAAGGTACAATTCAGGGGAGCAGATGGTATTTTCAGATAGAGATTGTTTACATGGAAAGAAATGTGTCCTCAGTGCAATTGACATTGGCTAACGAGGATCAATCAGTGTATTTTTTTAATGCAAGGACAGAGAAAATAAAGTAGGCATGGTTTCATACGCAATCTAAGGGGGGGAATATTATGTTGAGCCAACAGAATAATTAAGTGTATTTGCTCAGTTATAATCGTATATGTGTAACAATGATTTTAAATTAAATAAATATTTAGGAAACCTCCCTTTCTTGCATACTCACCAAGCTTGAATTTACTCTGAAACATTTGTTGCTGCCCAACAAAATACCTAAAATACAAGGAAACAAATGTGTTGAAAAATACTTTTGCAGCAGCAACAGCAAGAAGAAATTGTGTTTTGCATGCAATAAATGCATATTTTTACATAAATACATACATAGATTTCAACAGGTTCTCCCCCCCCCAATAAAGAATTTTTGCAACATATAAACATACAGTCATGGTTATTCTTTATTGAAATATCACTTATCAAAATTATATAAAGTTGATTACATTCAATATTAGGGAAAATATGTAGTAGTAAAGAATATGTCATACTGAGGGTTTTTTTAAAAATTATTGCTTTGATACAACTAAAAATAACAACAAATAATAAAATAGATTACAGTTAATTCCTAATTAACTGAACATTAACTGGATTAACTGGGCCTTGTCTAAAAAGGAGTTCTGCCTGCTTACTGTACACTAATAAAAGCTTACTGGAAAATATCACAAACCACCGAGGGGGATTACAAGAAATGCAAAAAAAAGAGAATAAATGGGAGATAATAATAGTGACAGCAGGTGATTATTTAAAAATAGCTTTCATCACAAAAAGAACAGAATTTAATTTACATTATCTGAATAAACATTTCTAAATCATCCACTCAAAATAAATTGCTAATCTGCAAAAATGAATTAAATATATAGCTATTAATCATTTACTTTCAATTGATTCTTATTGAAATGCAAGAATAACGTGAACGAAAATATCATTTTTTTGGTTTTGAAGCATGTCTTTTAATGCTTATAGAATTTGTATTACCAAATGAACTTATTCTCCAAAAAAAAATTCTTTAAAAATACAGCTAAATTATTAACAACATTTTCTGTGCATTATAATATGAGTTATTCCTCTTTCCTGTGTATTATTTTGCTAAAGTTGGATTAGCCATAGGATTAATGAGTTATTCCAACCATCCTGTGTATTTTTTAGCTGCTGGGATTTCACACCCAGTGTTATCCTGTTTAATCAGCAGTCTATGGTATTTATAAGAAAAGCCTGGATTATTTTACTTATATTTTATGTATTACCTATCTTTTCGTGTTTGAATTTTTAAAAATACAGACAAAATGTAAAACTGGCCCTGAACGAACAGGGACAAAATAAATACTCATGATGAATAAATTTTCCAATAGTTTCACTTTAATAACTAGCCTCTCCGAAAAACTTACTTATTCTTTATCTTAAGACTCATTGCATGAATCTTAATTGCTTTCTTTACAAACTATGATTATTTAAAAACATCAGTGTTAATTTTTAAACATACAAGCAGTACCTCATCTCTTTGAAAATTTCAGTTATCTATGTAACTAAATAAATAAAGAAGGTTTTTTAAGAAATTTTTATAAACAAATACCTTCCTTTTCCATCTTTAAATTTAACCTTCAGGTAATTCAAATTATTTTAATTTAAAAAAATTCAGTTTTTATTCATGATATGTTAAAAAATATTGCCATACTCACTTATATGTAACTCTCTGAGCAATAGGATACATATCCTTGAGATTAGAACTCTCTATCACACGAATCAGAGGTTTCAAAAGATGTAATTTATTTACCTAAAAATTTTCAAAATCAAGAATTTAAGAATATATTATAGACATTTAACCGATACAGATAATAATCCTGAAAATAATTCAGCTTTTCATGGCTAATAGAATTATGAAAACAGCTGGCTCTCTAAAGTATACAGATATTGATAGATATCAATAACATCTTTGTATACTAATTGCAAAAGTAGAGAGATATAGAGATATTGTACTTCTTACATTTATAAATTTAAAATTAAATGCAAGAGCCTACAGATAACAAAAATCACTTAGTAAATGTATACTGAGCATTTTTTTTATTTAATAAAATTAGCATTACATAACTTAAAGGCATGCAATGTCTGTGAAAAAAAAGAAGCTGTACAAACCACTTAATTACTCAGAAATAACACAGAGAAATTATGAAAGCAATAGCAATGCTTTCACGTCCTTTGGTTATGGGACAGCATATAGCCGAAGTTGCTTTTTGTTTGACAATGAGTAAAATAGCTACAGACACATACAACATGCTTAAATAAACTTAGAATCGTGCAGCATTAACCTGCAGCAAACTTTTCATAATAACCAGTAGTGTCCTCTATAGAAATGACTAAATTGGCTATGTTAACAGCTCATAAACAGGACCAAATTAAACTTCTTCAATAATTTTAACATTGACTCATTAAATCCCATTTAAATACTGTGTAAAGTAGTAAATATTAGGCAATCCTAAAATATTGTCTGTAATTATGATGGTGAAACAGAATTTAATGCTAGATTGCAATTCATTCTGATTAATAAGTCAAAAGAAAACTTGTTCATTGACTTCTACGCTTGCATTGATATTTTGTTATAAATAATTTCAATAAACTCACAAAAATTAAACTTTTAAAACCCTACAAAAGTCTAAGATAAATATTATTTTAAGCAAGTGTAATTTCTTTAAAGTCATCAAATATATACATATTAATATTACATACAATTATCATTAAATATCAGTATACACACTTTTATATTCCATAATAATTCATTTAACTTACTTTAAAATATATTTTGAAAAGCTGGTTTGTTAAATTTAATATACCCCATCTTTTAGTATCTTCCTGCAATGAACGACTAAGAAAAGAAAAAAGGAAAATAATTGTACTAATTTCCCAATTTGGAATTCAAGTTAGAATGACTAAAACAATTTTTTTTTTTTTTTTTTTTGAAAATGTACATTATACTAAGTTTTATACATAATGAATTTAACATAATACAAGTAAAGTATGTCCATGAGAGAATAACATATTTTCTTACATGATATTTAAATCTTATATACCATCCGATACAGTTTGACTGAAAATTCATTGCTAATTTATTACTTAATTCCTACCTTTCTCATGTCTCATTTTTATACAGAAAAACTCACTATTTTACAAAACAACAAATATATGTTCCATTAAAATATATGCATATAGTCTAGTACATATACATAATGAAATCTAATATACTCGTATATGTATCACAAATGCAAGCAACCTAACATTTTAATAACTTTTCAATTATATTTCATATATATAACTGAAATATATTTAGAATTTAATTAATTCAAGGTGATTTTTTATATAAAAAAACAAAGACATTACATATATCTATTTCTTAATAGTATGGGTAGAACATTAAAATGAAAATGAAAACATCCATGCCATCCCACTTCAATTAAAATTTTTCAATGTTACAATAATAAAAAATCTCTCTGCTGGTATGTTTACTGTTGATAATTTTGTAAAACAGTGCAATAAAAAAATAAATTTTGAAAGAATTTTGTCAAATGGAAATATACAGATTTAATTTCATAAATTATTCTACATTTATGGCTAAAAAAAGAAATGGCTATTTGCTCTATTTTCAACATTTTTAGCACTACAATTAATCCAGAAATATACATGTCTTCATTCTTCAAGGATAAAAAGAACATTTCTAATTATTTTTTTTTTTTTTTAGCAAAACTCTGTAGCATTGAGAAAATAAAAAATGTGTAACATACTTTTAAATAAAATGTTTTATTATTAAACAAAGCACTGTGGTATTATAAAAAAGGATAATTAAAGTTACATGGAACCAAAACTTTTCAAACGAAAATGCAACTCTGCCTCCCCCCAAAAATATGAGTATAAATAAAGATTTATTTTGATATTATCATTGTATTACAAAAGTTTATTTTTCCCCTTCATTTAATATACAGTAAAAATTTCTTCCTCTTTTGGAAAGGAAGAGATAATTGTCAGATACCTCTATTTATGTACATGAACTAATTAAAAACTTTATTTTTGGTATACTATTCAAACATCTAAATTTTTTATCTGCTGATTCAGATTTATAACAGGGCAATATTTACTCGTTTATGTGTCATGCTTCCTGCTATTTTCATTTATTTTGAACAAATTAAAGATCAGAAAACAAAACATGGCTCTATCATACAAGCAGCAATAGCAGAATTGAACAATAGACTTAGCTTTTCACAAAATTTATAAGCTGTTTTAATATGCTTTCAATCTCATTAATATTTGAGAATAATAACTCAAGATATTTATTCACAGAATAGATAATTATCAATATTAGAGCAAATGTATTAAATAAATCTAATTCTATGTTTATTAAGATGTATGCTGAACTTCCCCCCCCCCCAATTTCTGCCATTATTAATTTTTAATTTCAAATTCATTAAATAATAAAATGTAAAATGCAATAAAATTTTCAGGATGAGCTTTTACTATAAGATACCAAAAACTACTAGTAAATTTTAATTTCACACTAACAGCTTTTTTCAAAATATCTGGAAGTATGAACAATATTTCAAGTAGGTAAAATGGTTTTGGTTAAATAATAAGAATAATATATACGCAGCGTATTCGGAAACTAAGTACCGTTTCATTCTAGCGCCGTCGGAGTGCTGTGGTAGGCGTCTCGCACATGCGCACTAGACAATTTAAGACAATTAGTTCTCCCGCTGATTGTGAGATTCGTGCCGTGATTAAATTTTTGAACGCGAGGAATGTTAAACCGGCCGAAATTTATTGTCAAGTGACAGAAGTTTACGGTGAATACGCAATGAGTGATGGAATGGTGAGAAAGTGGGTAAGAATGTTTAATGCAGGTAGAACAAATGTCCCCGCCGAGGCTCGGAGTGGTCGGCCTTCTGTTGTCACCGATGATTTGGTAAGGAAAGTTGATGAAGCAATTCATGAGAACAGACGCTTCACAATGACACTCTTTCAGAGGCATTTCTTTCACACAAATTTCACGTACTGTTTTGTTCGAAATTGTGTCTGACCGCTTGAATTATCGCAAACTGTGTTCCCGATGGGTTTCCAAAAATGCTCACTGATGTTCACAAAACAAAGCGACTTGGTAGGCCCTGACATTTCTCACGTGGTGCAGTGAGTGAGAGGGAGAAACTTTTTAAACCAAATTGTGACGGTGATGAAAACTTGGGTGTGTCATTTCACACCAGAATCGAAACAACAATCGATGGAGCGGAGACACACTCATTCTCCGAAAAAACAAAAGTTCAAAGTGACAATGTCATCACAAAAAATTATGTGCACTGTCTTCTGGGATAGGAAAGGCGTTTTGCTTACTGAATTTCTTCCCAGAGGTGAAACCATTAATGCGGCACGATATTGTGAGACTTTAACAAAACTAAGGTGTGCCATTCAAAACAAACAAAGAGGAATGCTCAGTAAAGGAATTGTGTTGCTCCATGACAATGCTCGGCCCCATACTGCTGGTGTCACTCAATCGTTAATTCGACAGTTTCATTGAGGGCAGTTTGATCACCCGACCGTACAGCTCGGACTTGGCGCTGTCCGACTGTCACTTGTTCCTGCACATGAAGCACGAGCTTGGTGGCAAGTGCTTTGGATCTGACAATGACATGAAAAATGCTGTGGAGTCGTGGTTATCGAAACTGGCGGGAAGTTTCTTTGATGATGGTATACGAAAACTGGTCACCCGCTATGACAAGTGTTTGATCATTGGCGGAAACTATGTTGAAAAATAGTTTAAGACATGTATTTTCATGTAAAAATAAAATTGGATTCGAAAAAATTGTTTTACTAGTTTTTTTTTTTTTTTTTTTTAAAAACGGTACTTAGTTTCCGAATACGCCTAGTATATATATATAAGACACGTAAAATGAAGCAATCAGTTTTAGATTGATAATGATTTTTAGAACAATTTCATATGTTTCTCCAACAGAGTTACAAATTGCTAAACATGCATCAAACTGCAAAATATAGTTACCTATTTATATTGCATCATGAATAACTAGCTGTGCAATGATATCATTACAAATAAGCAAGGAAAACTAGCAAGCTTGTAACACTAGTAAAAACACTAAATTTGTAACAACATTAATGTACTATGTAATGTAATATATATGACGTTTAATGTGCATCTGTACAATTCTATGGTGTTTTTGCTTGGAAAAACATCTGGCCCAAATTCAGTATAGCATACAGCCTTGTCATTAATTTGATAAAATCCAATTCCTATTTTTGTATTTGTCTTTATTTTTGCATTTATTCTGATTTTAATAAAATAATTATTCTCTTCATGAAGCTCTATGTATTGTTACTGTTCCTGCCTTTTGAGTTTGATTTCAGATCAGCATTTATGCGCCAAATTAATAGAAATGAGCCCAAAATTCACCATATTTTGAGGTAGATAAGCATGGAATTTCTCTTCTTCGAAAAGAAAAAATATTCTTCATTGTGAATTGAAATACATTATTTCTACAATCAAACATTATTATGAAAAAAATTAAAAAGTAAAGGAAGCAATAGTTACAATGCAAACACAACTCTGAATTTGTGATTACAATGAATACGGCATTTCCAAAATTTGCCATGAATTAAATTACAAATCTAAGCAAACTGCAAAATTGGATTAAAAAAAAAAAAAAAAGCATTTGCATCTCATAATTTTTTTTTTCCTTTCCTGGTTACGAGCACCATGAAAGATTACAAGAAGTAAAAAACTAATTTTAACAACAAAAACAGAGTAAATTTAAAATATTAGGATTGTTTATTTAAATAATTAATAACTAACTTATCTCCAACACATATTCTAAAAAAACCCATAAGTAGATCTGCTCCTTTCTCTAACATTTCATGAGGTTTTTCTTTTCTGTCTAGTTGCATATCTGCCTGAAATCATAGAGATATATTATAGTAACAACCATAAGCAATTTCCTCATTTAAAAACAGCATAAAAATACTTAATAAATAATGTTAGAATAACATTAGTAATTTGTCAGAATGATTAAATAATGTTAAAATATCAGTAATTTGAATTAGATTACTTAATATAATATAATATCAAAAACCTAATTATACATATACAAAAATCAATCATTGCTCAAGGAAAAAACAACTTACTTTTGTAGCTATTTTTCGCAGATCTAAACAAAGAGTATACATTATCGGTAAAGCCCAGTTTTCATCCTTCTGACTTTGTAAGATTTTGGTAAATGTCATATTAATGGTCAAGGAAAACATATATAAATCGACCTTAAAATTTGTATTAAGAAAAGTTTTGCTTAAGAATTGTTTAATAATACCATAGCATATATATACTTCTTACGGAGATAAGATTAACTAATAATAGAACAAGCAAAAAATACACTTAAAACTTCATCAATTAAAGCTACTGATATGCCCAAAAAAAAAATTTTTTTTTTCAATTTAATTATACAGGTTGTATCAGTACAGCAGTGACAAACTTTCAGGAGAGAGAGAGCACACCTAGGCGATGGGAAATCACATAGGAATGCATGGTCAGAAACACTTCCCTGGCATCGTATTGACGTCACAAAAGTCAAGAAAGGACACGAACGTGGTAAGAAAACATGTTTATTATTTGGTAAGAAAAACAACATAAAGAGACAACGTTCAACATCATAAAAGGTGTTCAAAATTACGACCCGGACTGTGATGCAGGAACCATGCATCATGCATCTTCCATGCACCAGAGAAATGAGGCCTGCATAACAGTCCAGGGTCGTAATTTCAAACAACAATGTCTTCTTTAATGACGATTGTTATTTATTTCTGTTCTTATTTGTAGGTTTCTGCTGTACTAAATATAAAAACATGTTTTGTCTCGCTGTTTGTGTCCTTTTTTTGCATTTTCTGTCATCACTACCGCACCAGGAAAGCTCTTCCGACCATGCACTGCTATGTAATTTCCCACATGTGTGGGGAAGTGTTGTAGGCGTACTCTATCTCTCCTGAAAGTTTGTGACTACTGTACTCATTTTCGATATATAAATGTTGTAACATCATTGTTTGCTATTTTAAGATAGAAAACATGAATTGCATAATATAATTGATGTGCCACATATATTTCTAGAGTACATGGAAATGTCACAAGGATACTGTACAAGAGTAAATTGATGCTTATATGCTTCTACATAATTTTCCTTTTGCATTTCTTGAAGACACCTATAAAAATCAAAGCAGAAATTTATAAAGTCTGAGAAACTACCATAACAAATTTACAAAAGTAAATAAGTTGTCATTATATATAAAGCCATAATGCATGCATTTAATAATACTAAAATGTAAATTTATTTCACACTGAAAAATTAACTATAGCTAATTTTTATATAAAACAGCACTAAAACCTGTACTGTTATTTTCACATTCACAATACAGCGGGGAAAATTACAATTAACATGCACAAAAAAAGAATTCCCCTGTTCCAATTTTTATTCCTGTTTCAGAAAATACTGAAAGTTAATAGTTTACTTAATGGTGTGATTCTTTTACATTTACACAGCCATGCTTACATATTTTTTCATTTGAGGCAAAAATGCAAATGTGCACCCCTATTTACATCAGGCCAATTTGTAAAGAAAAAAAAATAGCAATGCACTAATTTGTTTTTAAATATTGAAAATTGCATATTGCTCTGTAATTAAATTTTTTATTAAGAATAAAACAAAGACCAAAAAATTAAGCAACATTTGGATCATATTTACAGGGCACATGATTTATCTCCTTCCTATTCTCCAGTGATAGAATGGGGGGAGGGGGGGAATTCACATTTGTCGAGAATATATTTGTAGGGGTTGATCATAAGTAGCAATGACACCAGAAAATATTGCATGTGTCTAGAATGAAATATTGAGTGAGAGAAGATTAATAGTCAGTGAGACAGCAGTAAGACTGGGTTTATCTAAAACTGTTTTGCAAATTTCATATGAACACTTCACATGAGCAAAGTCTCTGCAATACGGGTACCCTGACTTCTTTCAGCAATTCAAAATTTAAAAGTCTCAGTACTGTTCAGAAGCAATGTGAGTTTAAGGAGCTTGAATTCCCCTTATAGCCCAAATTTAGCTTCAAGTTATTATTAACTGTTCTCTAAACTAAAATATGACTTTTGTGAAAAGAGATTTAATGAAGATGATAATGTAAAAAGAACAGTTACGGAATGTCTTGAGAACAAAACTTCAAATTACTTTTTAGGGGCGAAAAGCTGCTTATTAAATGATATGAAAAGTATCGAAGTACAGGTAGATCATATTGAAAAATAAAGTGCTAAAATTTTATATTTCTTTCAACAGTAGATTAGAATTACTTTGGATCTACCCATGTACATTTACCATGTTCTCAACAATAGTGTTTCCAAAAACATGGATAAGATTAAGAGATCAGTGCTGTTTACAGAAAATTCTGCTGTCAGATCCATAGTGACCAATCTAATGGCTTGGAAACTTTTCTTTCAAAAATTTACAAATATTTATCGTACAATATAGTGATGTATCATATTTTAAGATGTAATCTTTGGAATCCTCATCCAGTTTTGGAATTGTGCATGACTTTTTCATTAAAATGCATGTTCACAAGTAAGTGTCCAGACGGGTAACATTCAAAGCTAGTCCTGGTGTAATTCATGACTAATGGGTTGGCAGCATACAGCTTTCGAACTTTCTCCATGTATAACTTGAATATGGGACAGTTCGTTTGGTATATTCTCCATTAAAGCATCCATTTTACAGAAAGACAAAAAAAAAAAAAAAAAAAAACTCACATGCTTTATTGTAATCAACTGACTAAAGTAGTAGTCTTTAAAAGAAGCATATCTTTTATCAATCAAAAGAATTTTATTGTAAGAAAGGCTTATTTGAACTTGAGCAAAATACCATATGCCAGCTAATTCTATTTTAAATATGACCAATAGTACAGCTCTCAGATAAAATTTTATAAGTTACTATTCTCATCATATCTTTACAATACAAGCACTATTTTAAAGTTATTAGGATTTAATATCACTTCATGCTTTTTTCATGACTTCACACCAATTCAGTTCTCTGGACTTCCTTCTATTAAACTTTCACGAACATTATAACTGTTTCCATTAATTAATTCTCTAGACTTCCTTCTATTAACTTTCACGAATATTATAACTGTTTCCATTAGTTTATATTCCCACTAATAAACAAGTTTATTATCTAATTTATATTGATGTTTTCATTTTAGTTTTCTCTGATCTTGTATTCAACCACTTTACAGCATTAATTGTTTTTTCTTTTCTTCACAAACTGTTTTTTTAAATTTCTTTACCCAAAAAAAAAAAAAAAAAAAACATTTATACATATATTCTTTCTATTAGTTACTTTAGAATCAAAAGAATGAAACTTAGCTTTTTAAAATATATACTTTTATATCAATGTCAACAATATTAGAAATAGCTAGAATGTTTCATTTTAAATTTTCCATAAAAAATTCAAAATTATAAATCAATCTCTCTTTTTTTTTTTTTTTTTTTTTTTTAATACTTATACTAAGGAATGCATTTTATGGTTCCATTATAAGCAATAGAACTCCAAAAAGAGAGAAAAAAATATTATCTTATATATTTACATTCTTCTAGTCTTTTCAGAGAATGAGACTGACTGATGTCCCTGTTCAGTTAATTCAGCAATGTCCAGAAATAACCACAAATGAAACCAACTGCACAATTCCAAGCAAATGAAATTCGAATACAAGGAGACAAAATTCCAAACTATGTGTCTTATTTATCGACACATTTTACACAAAAAATAGAGCAAAATGTTGAAAACATGACACATATTTTATTCTTAAACATCCTTCTTTAGCCCTCTGATGCTATTCCAATAAGCTTTTTTTTTAATGAGATAACTTTTGTTACAAAAAACTGTAGGGAGTTGCACCACAATCCATATTCAGTAAGCAGACTTCAGAAATAGTGTTAAGGCGAACTAACAGCAATCAGACCTGTAGTTCTATTGCATAGATAAAAATTGGTATTTAATAAATTTTGATATTAATAATTAGATTTTATTGTTAACTATATTGACAACTGCTACTGGCCACACATAAAAATTTGAGTTTAACAAACTCCTCAGTACCTTCAAATGATCACATTATCTCAATAAATCGTCCGGAAAAATAATTAGTGATATTAACAAATAGTTGTATTTCTTTTAATAAGCAAGCTCTAGATAAATGAATCTCTATGTTTCAAAGAGCCATACAGTTCAAACAAATGCAGTGGCTGAACATACACCACAAAATAATAACAAAAATAGCACAAAAAGGATTCAGCATTAAAGACATTTATTAACTTCTAGATTTAATAAACATTCAAGTAATTGGGTTAACTGATCAGTTAGTTTCCTACAATATTTTACTAAAGTATAATATTACAGCATTTTAAATCTATACTGCACATACTCAGGAGGACCTTATCCTAATCTCAGGACATCGAAAAATATTACGTCTCTACAAACAGGCCGATAAAAATCCTTGAAGGCTTGAAAAATATTGATTTCAAATTTCCACCTGTTAACTAAGTTACACATAAATATCACTACAAGCAAGGTGGTAAATACTACTTACATGAGCAGACTTCAGGTTTTCATAAAAAATAAACCAAAACCAAACTAAATTTCATGATGCTAAGATGTATCTATCAGAGAAACAGTCTGCCATGAATTTATTCATTTATTTATTTATTAATAAAACCAGCCCTTAACGCTTTGCAGCTGCTCCTACTGTTTGTAAGAGGAGTTGACCTATCCATTACTTTGAATACCAATTTGGAACAGTTTCTTGTTTAAATTTATTAACTTAGTAGTGGCTAATGAACTATAGCAAAATATTATATCCTTTTTGTCAAATAATTTTTCATGTAAATAATTGATTTATAATTCATTTGTTATTAATGTATTTGTGTTTGGTAGTATTGTTATTCTTTTAAAAATTTGCCTATATTGTGATTTGTTTAATTTGCATTTAATAATTTGTACTTAGTCTATTTAATTCATATTATTTAGAATCAAAGCAAGTAATTTGTGATATAGAAATTAATTTACATTGATATTTGTTTCCTTGGTTATGCTGTTATGACTTTGTTGTGTGATTTTAAGTGAATGCTTTTTAAAGTGTTCATGTAGGAAGTAAGCACAAATTCTCTGAACAAAAGGGCACTCCAAAGCTCTTGCTTTGATTCCTAATTTGGCAACAAAAGTGAAAAAAACTTTCTATTTAAACTGTGTGTGTTATGCTTAGAAAAGATTCAATGCTTGCTTTAGACAATTATGCTTGATAATCTTTGGACCATTTTCATCATATTCATTGAATGAGTGATCTCTGTGATGTACACTGATTTATGTAACTTTATATGTGCCTGCATCATTAAAAAGAATTATGTGTCCAGTGTATCTTCCAAGTCCCTTTTGAATAAGAACTTGAAAAGTACACTGAACCACTATATTTGGATAACCTTTTCTAAAATTAGAAAGTTCAGTTTGTAAAAATCTGGTTTGTGCCAGTTCAGAAAAATCAAATTTTACAATATTTTTACTTCAATGAAATAATTAATAAAAATTGACAATTTATGGGTATTTAAAAGCCAATTTTATCACTCATTAAAACAATGAGATGATACTTAATTTTTGTTAATATTATAGAAATAGCACATTAATTTGAATCATCTTCATTTTGCAATTCTAATAATACAAAAAAAAATCTATTTACAGCAGATAATTTTAGCACATCATTACATATTTCAGGACTTAAATATTAAAAAAAAAAAGAATGAAATCCTAATATCAACAGCTTGTTTCAGCTTGTTTTCACAAAAACATTATTAAATTAAATAATTAAATATTCTTGATAAAATATCTTAGCTTAATACAAAAGCTAACACCTGCAAAAACTCACTAGATAAAAGCAGTTACTTAATTAAGACACAATGACACGCCGAATAAATACTAATTCAGAAGTCAAACAACAAAAATCAGCGTTATATTTACAAAATTTTCACAGGACTAGTTTCAATGGTTTTACCGAACCACCATCCTCAGCTGCAAAACCGCAAATGAACAAGATAGGAAATAATAATTAGATAAGATAAGAAAGCCTGGACAAGAATAAGCAAGTGGCGCCATCTGTTGGTGAAACCAGAACTA